AGTATTGTAACCACGTTCGTTATAATGAAATTAACTTTGAAAATAAAATATCCAAAAATCACTAATTAAATTACCTATTATGTTAGATGTCATTAAATTGTGATCGTACGTAAAAAGAACGTCCAAATCTGACTTCGTATAAGAAAGTTATGAATTTTCCAAGTTCGGCTTAACAACGGACAACTAAAAACTCGAATCAGAGATCGAGCGACTTTTGACCGGAATGACCTAAACGAGAATCGAAGATCTCGACAATGGTTTTTCAATGGTAAAAACTCTGGCAAAAACAGACATCAGATAATGAAGTTATGAATTTCTAATGAAATTTTCTTACCGCGACCTTTTAAAAATAAATAATAAAAATAATTTCAAAATTTGCCGACGGAATCTAAACGAAAGTTGTAGAGTATAGTCTCACCTACGCGTGGATATAAAGACCGTCGAAAACGGAATTCTTACGAAGAAGATATGAATTTTTGAAGTTTATTAAATATTAAACATATAAATTTTAATGGAAATTTCGGTATTATTCGAAGACTGAGTCACGCACGAGTACGCCCAGCGTACTCAAGGCCTAGGCCTCGGATCGTCCACGTCGCGCCTTATGCAAACCTATGTCCAGTCTCATCCGGAGTCTGAAGTAGTCGAGGATGTGCTCATGCGTGACGCACGCATACGCCCAGCGTACTCGCGTACGCCTCGCGTACGGAGGCAGTTCCCACCCCCTATAAAAGGGATGCGAGGGTTCCGAAGAAAAGAGCCATTTCCTCACATCTCTCTCGCATTTTTGCCTCGTTTTCCATGCACGTGCTATCCCGAAGTCCCAGTTACCTTGCTCAAGTCCCGAAGGTCGTTTGTGCTCCCGAGATTCCCAAGAATCCCGAGAAAATCAGCTTTCTCGAGTCGAAATTTTGTCCGGTTTTCATCCCGCCTTCTTCGATCTTTCTAGTGAGTTCATACCCCTATAATCCACACTTTTAAATGTTTTATAAATACTTTTATATGCTTTTAAGGGGGGAATACAAGTAAAACACTCAATTATTATCGTGTGTTATATAATAAAGTTTCATTATACGCTTTTTATAAATGGAATCATATGTGATTTATAACTATTATAGGGAAACTTTCGTACGCAAATTATACCACGATAACATATTATCTTTTGAAATAAGAAATTATTTATGTATTTATGTAAATCAAACACTCTGTTTATACTACAGGTATATGTGTCCAGGTTTGACACTACAAAAATTATACTTTTCATAACAAGTGAGCATTTTCACTAGGGATTATTATACAAACGAAACGCACTTTTAGAAAACTATAATAGGTATAGTTTTACTAGAATACTACGAACTTTTACATACTGGAATTACTATTTCAAGAAGTTACTTTCATATATAAGAGCAAACGAACATTTTCACACGTAAATCTGTTTTATACTAAGTTTTGTGAGACAATAAACTTCACGTATGCTCGAGTACACATTTCAAGTCCTGTATTATATACCAGAATCCCTTGGAGGGGGAGCATGGTGTTTGTGTATAGATCTATAGGGGATTGACAACCCCGCACCCTGACTATTAGCTACAGTACACCATTTGGGGTGACAAACATCAAAACATTCCAACGCCTGAAGAACGTTGTGTATAGGCATTCCTAGTCAATAGCATGGTTATAAAACTCACATAGAGTATTAAAAACACATTGATTTACAGGGTTTTTCAGACGTATTGTAGGTTTTATACATACATAAATTTATTTACTTTATGAATGAAAAACCTAATTGTGATATAAGTTTGGAACTTCTAAACCACTACTCACGGATGGGAAAACATCAACTTTTTAACAAACATTGGTCTTGATTTAAGGCTACATTTATACTAGTAGGAAATATGGGATTTTCTAGAAACTAAAAAACAAAAACAGACCATTTCATTTTTCATACAAATACTATCATTAAATGCTTATGAAACTCACCAGCTTAAATGCTAATCTACTCTTTCAAAACTACTTGTATGTCCCAGGGACTCAGTAATTACAGGTACCAAACAGCTTTTGAAGAATGAATGCTGCGACACTAGTTTAAATTCATATTTTGGCATCATATTGTAATTGGTTTTGACCAAGTACTCTTTTAATAATGTAAACTTTCAATTATATATATGATGGTTGTATTACTTTCTTTACTATGTATTCATTTGTTACATTACCACATGATGTCATCCGCCCCAGAACGTTTCCACCATTCCGGTTTGGGGGTGTGACATCCTCAACCAAATTCACTTCTCAAAGCTCCAAACACTCTCCAAGCTATCATTCACGGCTATTAGGGTTTCTGGAACTCAAAGGGAATGTAAAGAGGCTGAAGAGAGGGTATTATGTTCTTTATATGTAGCACAAACTCCGGAGTAGTGTTTTTCTCATTCCAACACCAACTTACCGAGTCCAGCCTCCGACTCACCAAGTTGGTCACTTAACACACGACCAAAATCGTGACTCGACTCACCAAGTCTGTCCATAGACTCGCAGAGTCGATCCTCCTTAATTGCACCAAGCACCCTGAATTTACACTTCTGAACTCGGTGTGTTACATTTGTCTAAAGGCTTACTAAAGGGGTCATTGGGTTGCTTTGGGCTTAATTTAGGAACTAGGGTTTCATTATTCAAGTCCAACTTCAAGACTAAGGAATGTAGTCATATATAAACCCTGTTAACTCTAAGAAAATTGTCCTTAAGCTTCTAAGAGTGCCCTAGCTGATTTTCACATCTCTCCTTCTTCATCTTTTGCATTGAGTATTTGTGACTCCATTAGAGATGCAACACTTAGGGCACTAAGCTTTCAAGAGTCAAGGACTTTAAGGATTGTCTTGTTATTACAATATAACAAGTGGGGTAATCATCAAACCCTAATATATATATATATATATATATATATATATATATATGTGTGTGTGTGTGTGTGTGTTTGTGTGTGTGTATGTATGTATGTATGTATGTATGTATGTAAATTTTGAAATTTTTTATACTAGATTTAGGGTTCATTGCTTTAGTGTTCATATTTGTATGTTCAATAGAGAAAAAATTAGATCCAAAGCAATTAAGGTTGCATGTGCACATAGGAATGTTGTAATGCTCATAACCCATCAGATATAACTAGTGATATCAACTTCGTTGGGTTAGTTACATTGGTTGCTTCGAATTCCATGTTACATACAAATCAAATTTGTCTATCTTTTCAATGTCTTGGATCAAATATAGTTATGCAGATTTTTGATGATAGTGATGTTAGATATTTTCTTAGTTTTGTTGCTACCATTCCTCCTAACACAATACAATTGTTTGTTGTTAATAATGTTATAGATAGTGTTACTAATTGATTTCCCAGGGAAAATAATTCTGGAAATGGTTCTTCTGGTGCTGGAAGTAACCAAATTTGTAACTTATTACTTATGACAACCAACAATGTTCCTTCTTACAAGAACCATGTATATGGGAGTAACTATAGGTCTAAAGGTAAGGTTGTTGTTTAGTATGACCTTCATGTTGATGTTGATGAATCTGCGAATGATGAGGAAAAAACCAATGATGTTGTTTGGTGATGATAATATAGTTCCACATGGAGAGCCAGTGGAACATTTTCAGAGTTACACTGAATTTGATGGGGATGATCATAAAGATGGAGAAGAGGAAACTGATCGCTTACCACAGCCCCGAAAAGCACAATAGGAAAAGTTTACTTATTGTTTTATCGATTTTGAAGAAACATAACCTACCCATTTGGGTATGCCTGATCCTTTACCACTTCCCAAATTAGCTCAAAAAAATCATAAAGGGGCCACATCGCATAACTATAATTTCCATCTTAAGTTATTCCAAATCTTAAAAAACAAAGAAGAACTTAAGCTTTATTTAGGATTGAAAAGTGTTAGTGAAGCTTTCCAATATAAAGTGAAAAATATATACAAAAGACAGGTTTGAAGCTGTTTTCTATATGGATAATTGTGACTGGCAGATTAGGGCAACAAAACATAATACTACTGATTCATTTCAAGTGGTTAAACTATTAGAGAAACACACTTTCTCAAACACACAACTATGTCCCTATCACTGACAAGCCAACAAAAAGGTATTGCGTCACTTCTTAAAGGGCATATTAGTTGATAGTACCAGTAATATGTTGCAGACGAAACATATACAACGAACTTTAAATGATCGTATTTGTGTACATATTTCATACTGGCATGCATGGAATGCTAAAATTTATACTCTAAATCTATTGAGAGGGACCCCTAAAGAAATATTTCTTAGACTACCTATATACTGTTACAACTTGGAGAAGAAGAATCCAGGGATGGTTACACATATAAAGATGAGTGATGACAACACATTTGAATACTTTTTCATGGCTATAGGTTGCATGGTAATATATTTTATATACCTACTTCTTTATATTTAATTTCCATACACATGTGTTTGCTTTAATTATATTATTAACTACTTTTAAGGTTCGAGCATTTCAAAGATGTTTATATCCTATTATTATAATTGATGGCACACACCTTAAAGGGAAATGCTTGGGCACCATGTTCATAGAAGTAGCATGGATGGTAATAACCAAATCCTTCCTATTGCATTTCGTGTTGGGAAAACTGAAAGCGGAGAGTCAAGGATTTGGTTTTTTTTCAAGATTCAAAGAAAGTATTGGGGACATGCCATCTTTGGCTATCATATCAGATAGAGCCAATTATTGAATTGGCTATTCAACTCATGTTCCCGAATGCATATCACGGACTTTGTTATCACCATTTTTTTGATGAATTTTATATCAAAGATCAACAAGCAAGAGATAACGGATATTTTTTTGGGAGGTTGCAAAGTCGTAATGAGAGTCCGGTTTCAAAGAAAGTTTGAGTAGACTATGTCGTGCACTAAACGATGATTGTCAGATATGGCTAGACAAAATCTGTAATGAGAGATGGGAAAGGTCGTGTTTCCCCATGGGAAATGGCAATTATCGGGGTATACCTTGTACTCATGTTGTGGTGGTATTTAAGGAACTGAGATATCAACAATGCTATGTATGGGTGTCATCATACTTCATAATGCAAACATATCGTTTAACATATGAAAAGGTTGCGTTTCATGTGCCAGTTCCAACTGAATACGAAGAACCGGATGAAGTCATGGTTGTTTTGCCACCATTGATGGACAAAACACAAGCCAGAAGACCTAAAAACCATAACCGTATTGCATCCAAGGTGAAGGTCCGATTCGGAAAATATGTAGTCGTTGCCAAAGGATCGGTCACACAAGCAGAAACTTTGACACTACGTTTCCCGTAGAGTCAACAGCAAGTGAATCTTCAAGTAGGATCAAGTCAAGTGGCGAAAATAATGTTCAGTCTTAGAGTAGACATACTAGTAAAAAAGGTAGCCAAAAATATGATATTATTAATTTAAAAAACCTATAGTGATGTGTGTACGATATCATAATATTCTATAAAATGTTGTCCGGACGGATAAACTTGTTTTTGCTACATCTTCAAAAGACACATGTCTTAAAACATTAACAAAGAAAACCATAACTCAAACATTAACGTAATATGCAACATCTATCCACTGGACACTCTCAATCCACCACCTAGCAGCACGCTCCTACACAGTAGGCTGCAACAACTCGTTGGAGGGACGTTGCGTAAAAATAGAATATATAAAGATTAATCGTAAGTTATTTATGTCATATCAACTTATAAATAATAAGGTGGACTAAACTACATACATTAGTAACATTGAGAATACATTTGCAATCAGGTGCATGCAAACACGTCATCCTAGGGTATGCAACTGTTTGAGGGATAACACTAGGTACAGGGGAACCAACAATACTACTGTTGGAAAATGTCTCGAAGATCTAAATCTACAAAATTAAGATGACAAACAGCTTACCAAGCTAAGAAAGTTACAATACTTATTGTAACATCCTGTTTAAAATATAATAATTAAATAATAAACCCGAAACCCCGAGAAGTAATTATTATTATTATTTTATATTATTATAGCCAAATCAAATAATAATTATCAGGCTGCTAGTTGCGGGAGTTACAGTGTAATTTTAGGAATTATTTTGCAAAGGATTTTAGAAATCAGGGGGTGTTTGGTATTATTTAGACTTAATATGTAAGGATTTATGGAAGCAAGGGTTGCTTATTAAATATTTCGGACTTGATTTGTAAGGGTTTTCAGAAGGAGAGGTTTAAATGGTAAATTAAGTATTAAAGTTGAAAGAAATAGGAAAAGGAGGGTCTGATTGTGTCAATATGGGATGATGTTTCAACGGATTCGGGTATTTAACGACCAACTCTCCATAACCCTAACCCTAGCCAATGTTCAGCCTCCACCCTCACCTCTACCATCTTCGGTGTCGCTACCCTTTTTTGGGGTCCCAAACCGTTGGAGCAACCACCTTGTTCTCATCCTCACGCTGGGGAAAAAAAGTTGTGTATGTGGCTGCCTTCGTTGCTCGTTATACTACACCTTTCGCCTTTGTCACCACCATGGAAACCCTTATCCGTCACCCGTTATTTTGCCATCATAGCGACACAACCACTGCCGGGAACGTAACCAACATCCGGGAGATCTACCAAAGGCTGGAGGCGGAACAAAGAGTGAAGGTGGGTCATGAACCATCGAGGTTGCTGTTGTCATGTGCCAAATTCGCTGAATACCTGCCGCTGCCGTCGTCGCCTGTGCAGTTCCTTTCCTGCTCTGGTCACCGCTTTCCACCCCGAAGGGCTGCCGTGTTCATGTTTCACATGGGTATAAGTGTGCTACTGCTTCAAGTTTATGTGGTGTGTGTGTATGTTATTTCATGTATGTAGGGTTAATTTATCCGAAATCCATGAGAACAGCCACCACCACCACCGTGAGGTGGTGGCTGCCACCATCTACCACCGTCGGCCACCATAAGGGTGATTGTATGGGTGTGTGTTTATCTTAGTATGTGTGTGTATTTAATTGGGTTTTATGTTGTATGTAGTAATCAGTAAAGGAGTAATCAAAAAGAAAAACTCATAACCCCCACCGTAAGGTGGTGGCTACCGCCTCTTGCCGCCACCAACCACCTTGTTCGGTGGTGGTGTGCTCGTTTGTGTTTGGATTATTTGGGATGCTTGGAAATTTTCTAGTAAAAAATCATAACCACCACCAGGAGGTGGTGGCTGCCGTCGTGACCCGCCATTAACCACCACTACCTGAGGTGGTAGTGGGTGGTGCCCGACTAATGAAACCCTAATGGGCCCAATGAAGCCCTAATTGACCTAAAAGTCCAATCATGTTACTAAAGGGCTAGTATTGGGTTGGAAACTTTAATTTTGGGGATTTATCGGGACCCACACTTGAATTAATTACTAAACTGAAAAATCTTAATTAATAATCATTTGCAAATTAACCTAAGGTAATATTGGACTTAATGGATTAAGTCCTTAATGTGTTAAGTAGGAACGCTTAACCCTAATCGTCCTTTAATGTGAAAACCCTAAGTTCACTTGGGCATTGAGTTAGGCCTTCCTATTAGGCCTTGATGATTGGACTATTGATGGGCTATCCAAGAACAAGTAAATGGACCAAAGAAATTGGATGAGCTTTATGATGAGGCCCATATGAAGGACTTATGCCTAATTTGGAAAATTTAGCCATAGGTGGGCCATAACTGGGCCTTGATGATTATGTGATATTGGGCTATGGGAATACCAAGAGTTTAGACTATAATAAATGGATGGGCCTTAAGGAAATACCATGTAGAAGTATGAGCCTAATTTAGAAAATTTGGTCATATGTTGGGCTTTGGCCCATTACTTGACATTTGAGCCTTGGTGTATGAGTTAGGCCTTGGGTTTCAATCAAGCTAAGTTGGGGGTAAAGTAGCCTTTACCCCAAGCATGGACTTATGGTTATGTACTGGAACCCATTTATTAATTGGGTGTAATTTTGATGATTGACCGCTCGGGAATTTGTCAACCAGCAGCTAGAGTTTATCCGCGGGACTTCAGCAGTGTGAGGTAAGTTATCCTAACTATACTAATGGGTCAAAGGCACCAATGACGTCCCATTGGATCTGATATCCTAGTAGTTGGTATTATATTGAGTATGAGTTAGTTATGCATGCTAGTTGTTATACCAGTTGGTAGATCTGTAGGACTACCTGTGTTACTATATGATTATATGTATGTACATTAGTTGTGTTATATGTCAACATGTTATGTGGGATGGGTTGGGGTTGTACTGCTCCGTTCGGTAGCCAACAAACCCTAGAGTATTCCAGATATGAGTTGTAGGCTAGGTAGAGCATAACAGACTCATACTGATGACTCAAGAGTATTCCAAATATGAGTTGAGGGTCAGGCAGGGCATGTCATACTCATACTGAGGGCTCAAAAGCATTCCAAATACGAGTTGTGGGTTGGGCAGGGCATGCCAGACTCGTACTGTGGGCTTAGGAGCATTCCAGATACAGGTTGAGGTTCAGGCAGGGCATAACAGACTCGGATTATTGGCTCAGTGGCAAGCCAGATGTGAGTTGTGGTCCTGGAAGGCAAGTCAAACTCATAATGTGGGCCCATGGGTAATCTAGTCTGTAAAGTTGTGGACCCATAACATGCCATTATTTGTATATGTGCTATTTGTTGTGTAGCGGTATTTTGGGGGAACTCACTAAGTTTCGGGCTTACAGTTTCATCTCCTCATATTTTATAATTGATGGTGGCAAAGGCAAAGATGTGATCGTACAACTCCTCATATTTTATGACCATGTTTCTAGGAGACTCTGATATGGAAGTGTTTTAAAAACAAATGGGTAATAACTGTTGGTTTCTAAATGTTTTAAAAAGTTTAAATTTGGCATGATTTTTATGGATGTTACAAGCTGGTATCAGTGCCTTGGTTTGAGTGAATTCAAGGAACACATGTGTGAATCCAGTCTCAAATTAAGGAAAGGATTTTCAAAAATGGTTTTTAAATGGTTTTCAAAATAGTTAAAGGAGGATGTAGGGTGTATGATTAGTCGGAGCCAGTAAGTAGACCCCATAATACCATATGGTTATGTGATATTGTGATATGTTAGAATAGCATGCTAGTACTAGGCTAGGGATCTTCAGGAATTGCATGATAGAATTGCTTGATTGTATGATGCCTGATAGCCTAGGGTTTTCCTTATATCAGATTGACATCATTAATGTAGTTTCTTAATATATGCATCACGGTTGTACATAATTAAGATCTTATAGCCTGATAATATTTGGTTTAGCTTTATTTCTTGTTCCTTGTTTGGTTGTGGGATTAGTGTAGGACCGAGTATTCGAATGTCTATAGGGTCCAACCTTATGTATGGTTAGCATATACGAGTGTTGCAGGGTTGGTGGAAGTTTCATGGGTGGGTTGTATGAGGCCGGTAGGCCAGTTATGAAAAATTTAACATTCCTATAAGAGTGAGGATTGAGGCATTCACTATGTTATATATACAGTTAGGGCATTGTGATGATACTTAAGACAAATACGGGTAGGTGTGGAAGGTAGTATGGGCCCGTGCTACTAAAAGCATACGTGTAGCAAGGAAGTCATAACCCCTAGGGTTTAGTTGGGAGTTGGTTCCCTATTATTATATAGATTATCTGAGATATCTATGGTGTATTACCATAATGGTGGTTACGAGATGCTTTAAGACTGGATCCGGATCAGGACCGAGAGCTGGAAGCCAGGATAGGCCAGTATTGTCAGAGGATTGTGTTAGTGAGATCATCCAGGAGGAGATGATCGAGATTGCCTGGGGACAATGGCTAGAGATGCTTGGGTCAATTAAGACCTCCATGGTTGAGTATTTTGATGAGCGCTATGTAGCCCTTCCTAAGACGGCTACCGCAACAGCTACAACAACTGTAACGAGGACACATAGAGGAGCTAGTCAAGCTTTCTAGTACTGGGACTTATTAATGGGACATATTCTGATGAGTAGAGGATTGCAGTTACTTAGGATCAGGGAGATGTTCAGTGCTCGTTACATTCCACGAGTTGAGCAGGAGAGGCTAGAATAGGAGTTTCTGGATGTAAGGCTTCGAGGGTTTTGCTCGAGTCCGGGATGCGAGTCGTGGGGACTCAGTAAGGGAGTGATGATTATGATCAACTCGATTTTGCAGCTGGATGTAGAAGAGTTAATTGACAGATTGGAATGTTGTTTCTAGGGTCAAGGAATGTGCACTTTCAGTTTTCTATGTGCGAAGGAGTAAGTAGGATTGTAACCTTTGGGGTTAGGTTGTATTTTCGGCTCGGGAGCTGTTGATCGCAGTGTTTAG